CTTAAATGCAAAGTGTTACTTTTTTTTTTTTTTTTTACAATGTTGGTATAATTGCTGCTCTAAGTTTTCAGCTAAAGGGATGTTTTAGAACTTCTCTACTCCAGTTAACAATTAATCGATTAAAAAATTAATTGAGGATTATTTCAATTATCGACAGATCACGATAAATTGTTTAAGCTGTAGTGAATTTATCTCCAAACTAAGTTGAATTTGTAACAGTTAAGACAGATGTTACCTCCCGTTGTCCAAGCACAATTCGTAAATGGTTAATCTAGATTAGTAGATTTTGGATAAGTAAATCTAATAAGGCAGAACTATTTAAAATGTCAAACCTCTGTGAAATTAACAGGATTATCTGCCTTGATAAGAGTTAACCTATTATCTGTACTTTTTTGGTAACCTTAATCAAAATATTGATCAAGTGGGATAACTAAGTAGGACAAAAAAGCTTAATCCATTCCATAGTTTAACCTGAAAGTAAGTACAACTGTCTAATTAAAATAATTTGCCTTCATATGCCTATAAGTTGTGACAACTGTGCTTGTATCTGGAAGCAGAAACCTAAACCTGGTACCTGTTTTCCACCAAAGCTGTAAAACCAATATTTTCTACACCTAACTAGCTCACTTTTTCTGAATGTTGCTGACACTGCTATTAAACTTTTTTTAGAGTATGCAGAAAGCCCGAAATACATTTTTAAGCAAACTGTAGCTGCAGCACACTGTTGAGATTCCCTAAAAAAATCTCTCTAGGGAAACAATCCACTGGAAGTTAGATGCATCTTGGAGCATCGAACCACACCACTACCATCTTGTTTAACAATCGTTTTCTGGAATGTCATGATACTTTTAGGTGAAAAGTATACACCTTCCATTTTCATCTTGTCAATCCGTTAAATATTTTACCAAAAACCTTGGTAATTTTCAAGATGGCTTTCCTTTCAAAATTGCACACGAGCCTTTGTGATCTTTGATCCAGCTGTTTTTAGCTTCAAATCATCCAATATATTTTGTACTTGAAAGTATCTATAAGCTTGTTCAAATGGTTCACAGACATCACATAAAGTAAATGTTATAAATCTTTGGGTTAACATTTTAGACATTTATAAGAACTCTAAACATTGAACTGCTTAGTGGAGACTATTTTATCCAATAAAAACTAAAGAAAAACAAGCTCCAGCCCATCTTAAACTAATATCCTCTCAGATACTAAGTCTGTGCTCCAGTTATAACTCTCGTTGTCACAAATATAATTTGCAACACAGATAGAGTATAAAGTCAAGATTATTTGTGTTCTACATTGAAAAAAAACAAACATTTTCTATTATATAATATTTTCTTTACACAAATTCAACTCCTATTTATCTTCCTAACAATTTCTCTCCCACTGGTAGAAACTAATCCGTTCCTCCAGTAAGCGCCTTGGTGTCAGCGTGCAGTGCAGCTGATTGTTTAACAACACTTTAGACTGAAATGGCTTTTTCTAAACATTTCAGCACAGTGTAAAAGGGTGATTCTCAAGCTACAGTCATATTTGCTCATGGCTTTTTTTCAGAAAAACCGAAGCATATTATTAGAAATATTTTGATTCGTTCTAATTCATCAAAATGCATAGAAACAGTAACTGACAGCGGTTGCAATGTAATTACATGAATATTATATAATGTATATTATGTACGAATATTATATAAATAGATATGTTAATGACTGTTGTGGAAATTACAATGTTTAGAATTTTCTTTAAAATCTCATGACGTATTAGCATGCTAATCTCTGTTTTACAGTTAAAATACACTCAAAATACTCTAAATTAAATGGTATCTTTGTCATTTGTACATTTAAAGGAATATGAGCAAATAGGGAAAAAGAATATGCAATGCTTGGTATTGATGACCAATAAACCTACTCTTGGTTTTGCAAAACTTTCCTTAATTTTGTTTCTTATTCCCCTTCTCTACATGGAGCTAATGCTGCTTTCCTGCTATTAGCTTTCCTCTCATAAGACAACTATTGTGGTTGCAAGTACGCAAAGGTTAAAAAAAAATTAAAAGGTACAGTTTCATGGTACAAATGACAGTGATCCCGAGGGTCATGGGTTCTTTTTATGAAAAATATAGAAAATACCAATATATCTTTAAAACACTTTATATTTATTCATTAAAATAAGGAATTTCTGTGCTATTGTCAATAAAGGTCACGCTGAATCAAATTTCATTTCAGTCTTATAAGGGACAGAGATTCCAAAACCCACCCAATGGGCAAATAGCAAAAACACTCAATATAAAACAACTTTTTATATAATACAAATAGTATTACATCTTTCATAATTTTTTGTAAGTTTGTCTGTGTTTCCAGGACAGGTCCGGCAGAATGGATAAAAAAATGACAAACATGTTTTTTCTTATTTCTGTCTGGGACACAAATAGTTTAATAGTTAGAGAATAACCCAAATACAGAAATTCATTTTCATATTTACCATACATGTTTACATTTTTTTAACATAGTATATGAACCTAAATCAAATGAAGCATCGTTTTTTTGCTGACCTTTTGAATTTAAAATTCAAAGCTTAGACAATTTTTAGAGCGGCAAATGTTACGTGGCAAACTAAATATGTAGGTTTAAACCCCTCTTTTTCTCCTAATAAATAAAAGCTTTTTTTTATTTATTTGTTATCCTAACCACTATCCTATAGTTTTTGTATGTATAAATATATTTACAAAGAGTCAGCCTTCATGAGCTCCACAAGGTTTTCAGTCAACTGAAAACTTGAAGTGATTAAGGTAGGTTATATTTGCCATGTTTAAGTCATTCAAATCAGGCTGAATCCCAGCTCACAGCCTTCCTCAAATCTCCTTTTAGCGTGCACTGTTCCCAGCGGTTTTTGCCCATCTGGGTGCGTTATAATTTCAGGTCTCTTGATGGCTTAGCTGTGTTGGAACAATTTTTTTTTAAACTCCAGTCTAAGGCAGGCATCTCCAAAGTCGGTACTCGAGAGCCGCTGTCCTGCAGGTTTTAGAGGTTTCCTTGCTCCGGCATAGCTGATTTTAATTGAAAGTTGATTAACAGGCTTTTGCTCAACTGCAATCATCATAATCAGCTGTGCTAAAGCAGGGAACCCTCTAAAACCTGCAGGACAGCGGCCCTCGAGGACCGACTTTGGGGATGCCTGGCTTTGATGCAGAGGCTGATGTTTCTGTATCAGCTGTTAAAATAAAAAATTTTGCTGTGTGATGAATCTACTATTTAGTAGGACACCAAAATATGTTATTTGATAAAGTGAAATCACAATTGATGTTTTACATATCTGTAGTTGGACTAATATCACACAGTAAACGCTGTTGTTAGTGCGCTTGCAAAGGCATAACAGTGAATTTGTGTCGTATACTACACATCCAAAGTGTGATAAAGCTGCTAAGCCGACAGATTTTCCTCCTCTTGACAGAACCATATTTTCTTGTTTTGGTCTAACATTATAACAGCCATAATCTGCTCCATTTTAATACCATGGAATGCTGCTAATGCTGCTTATCCCTGACTAATAACTGCATGGAAAATAGTTAACCTGCTGACACATTTCATTTGTTTGCAAAACACCAACAACCCTACATAACCCAAGACTGAAGGGGTGTGAAACCATTTTATTTCTTCTTTTTGAAAACCACCAACAACTTCCAGCATCTTTTTGTTTTTTGTTTTCCTGAAACACTGTATGAATATCACTTATTTCCCTATTTTAGTACACAGTTATAGGTTAGGTCTTTGACAACTTAGATTGTTGCTTTATACAGATAAATGTTAAATATCAACATGGTAATAAGTCCCAAGTCTATTTAAATATACTTAATGTAATTGAAAGATGGCTTTAAGTGAGCCATCTGTAGCACTCCTACACAATGTTTCTATTTGAAATAAACAAGAATCCCATGAGATTTAGATGTTATGTAAGGTTAAGATTATAATGTTTGGCATGCAAGATAGTTTTTTTTTTTATTTCTAGTCCTGGTTCTGTAGAAAATGCAAAATACTGAATGCACAAAAGTTTTATTTACATCCTTTTTCCAGCCTTCGAAAACTTGACTAAAAAAAAAACACATTTGAAGTCATTTTCTGCAGGTATTGTATTTCTGTTCTATTTTTTTCTCCCATTATGACATTGTGTTTCTGTCTCGTTTCTTCCCATGTCACAGACGATGAACCAGTCGGACCAGCGTAAGTAAATAATAGCTATACTGTGAATTAGATTTGTCTTAACCTACTGCATGATCTTTGATTTAGTACGGTTAAGTTACTAATAAAACTGCTTTTATCCAAGGAAAACAAACTCAACAAACAACCACAAGGACAAAAACATACGCCAGAGGAATACAAAATAAGCAATTTACCCAAGTAAGACTGTGTTGAAAGGGATTTTTAGTAGGGTCTAAGTGTACGATATGCAGAGGATAAACCCCTAACCATGATTTTCTCCCCACAGATGAGACGGCTTAACTGCATTTTTTGACGACATGCAAGTATCAGAGGTTGACAAAACTCCAGGCAGTGTGGAAAAATAACCCATATCCTGTCTCATTCTATGAGCAACAATATCAGCGTAACACTGGCAACAATAAGAACTTACAGTAATGGCTGTCTTAAGCATGCCTTATCCAGTCTTAGATGGCAATTTCAGGATGATGAATATTGACTAATGCGCCACAAAGGTGTACGCATTTCCAATGTGCTGTTGATGTCTCCTTTATTAATTTGAACATGTCCTCAACCGAGGTGATCCCTTTTGTATTACATATCATGTACACTGCATGCAAGATTATAACGCAATAGGATACTCAGAATAGACTTTTTCTGTTGTTATCCCTCGTGTGGCTTTTTTTGCATCCAAACCACATGTTTTTTATGGAGTCATCCTCATATATATATATATATATATATATATATATATATATATATATATATATATATATATATATATATATATATATATATATATATATATATATATATATATATGTTTTTATTGAGATTTGTACAGCATATCATTGTCATTAAATTATATGATTTGTGAAAAGAAGTCTACTTTTAACAGAACTTTTATTGTGAAGCAAGGGCTTCAACGTCAGGCAGTATTTAAATTTAATTGAGAGTGCTTACAGAAAATGACTACTGTGTGTTTAACTATCTTAACAAAAAGGATATATGTATTATTTCTATTTTCTTTCCAGAGTAACTTAGGTGTCTTGTATATGTTGAAGTATGAGTGTTCAAATGATAGGAAATCTGTAAAAAAAGATATTTTTTTTATAATTCCCAATTTCAACTCATTGATTTTTACTTTCTATTTTTTTTTCTCTCTTTAACTGTATAGCATGGCTATAATCCTATGCAATATGTATTCTTAAATAGATATATGGAGGGCAGTTTGTTTTACTCAGTGAAGCTTTAATCTTGTGGGATCACTTGAAAGCTGGCATAGATTCACTGCTGTAGCTGCATGACTCCTCTTTCAATACGATGTATCCATGTGTGTTGCGGTGGAAAAGGACCTGGATTATGGGATGTGAACTGAGGGACCAGAGCATATAGCCACGATCAAACATATGAGTGACCAATATTTTTTTTCTTAATAAAAACAATATAAAACAAAAACTGTCTTCTATTTTAATTTCGAAAAACCCAAAGGGAAATGTATTATCTGTGCTAAAAAACATAAACTTGGAATGATAGCTTTGGAATTATATTTTAATTTCACAAGTAGAACGGTCAAGAGGATCGAACTGACGACACGGACTAACTAGAAAAAGTTTAGAACATCAAACATTGGAACTTGCTTTAACTTCCTGCCATCAGCTGGTGGTAAGATATTTCTCAGTCTTCCAGCAGTTTTTCCAGTTCCTCCTGCACCTTCTCTACAAACGCAGGGAAGCTGGGATCCAGCAGACACACACGCAGGAAGGCCTCCATATCACCTAATGCAGATGAATTGTGCCTATATATGTTGGGGAGAGCCAGAGGAGCTTCTCCCATGAAGTGCTGTGGGATGCAAGGAGAGATATTTAAGTCAATCCAAATGTCAGAATCTACGGCTGCATCTAAAAATTATTTCCAAAAATTCTGTAATTCCATTAATAAAGTGAAGCCCATTTAAAGATTAAATAAACAATTGTGGAGTACAGGCAATGCTGATAATCCAGAAATGTTTACTATCGCAATCATCAGGAAGACTTTTGATATTGTCCATATTTGCTCCACAAAAGCCTTATAGGAGTCTGCTAAAAAAGACTATTTACAGAGAGCTGTATCCAATCATCATGAGAATGCAAAGTGGAAAAATGTTTGGCTGATCGTGACACAGTCTGTTAAAGGTTTGGAGGAGCAAGACCATGTGCACAACTGCTGCATTCCCAGGGTTACTCCACTCCAAACCAGGGAAATTTAATGCATTGCATCATAGCTAGACTAAAAAGAAAAGTAACTAAACAGTCACGCCATGAACCAAACTCCTCCTTTTCAAGTGACTACAACTGTTATACTTCATCTGCAACAGAGAAAAGGTAAAGAAAGTTATTAAATCAAACACCTGTTCAGAATGACAGACCAAAGCCTCCATGTCATTTAAGTGCTGCTGTGGTATTTTTTTTCTTTTAAGATAAGCAGCTTTCATTCCCAGTATTCAGATAGGTGAGCACCTGATTCACTGCAGTGATTACTTGGTTGTGTTTATGTACAATTTAAATGTTCTGAGAAACTGAATTATGTATTTCATTAATATAATCTGAAGGTTAAATATGTAGAATGGTGAACATGAGATGGTTAAAGATTAATGTGCCGGAGTTTTAAGATTTCACACCTGGGTTAGACGCCTGATGGACACAGCACCTTGGGCAGCTCCAGCCTTTCCCTGCCCAGTTTCTTCTTGACGTGACTGCTGCCAGAAGATAACAGAAAGAACATTAAAGAAAAAAAGATTTGACAGACAGTGCAACAGCACAGAGTAGGGAGACCAATCAATGACCTCATTACTAATTGAAAATTTTCCACCCAGTGGAACCAAGTCCTTTCATCCTCTCCACAAACTTCTGCACTGTCTACCCATAAAGGTCAATTGTAGCACCATGGCCGAGTCCGTTTCTCTCTTAATCCTTCATGTTTAATGACTCAGAGCAAAGAAAAGCTTGGTGTTTTCATTTGAAGCCAAATTGTTCTTAATCAAATTTTTAATGCCACTTAAAAATATATTGTTGAGCACAAGCATTTCCTTTTACAATGAATATGCTGAATGAAATTCAGGGGTTTAAATATACGGCTGATATTTTCATAATCGAAAATACATTTTATAGTCATGTTCAGTCAAATAACTCCATTAAAAGCAGTTTTCCTACCGTCGGTGTTGGGTGGGTTTTAACTTAATCTCCTGCAAAATCTGGGATTATTCAGTAATTTTTGCACATATACTGTCCCACTGAATGTCATCCCTAAATTTAAGACAATGTAGTAAACAGCTCCTCCTAGTGAATACATTCTGCTACTGTTTATTGGGAAAAATCTTCCACCTCTAATGTAGTGAGCATCTATAGTTAAGAGTTTACAAAAGGGAAGTTTTCCCAAATAAAAGAAAAATAAAAGGGAACATATCATGTTAGTAGTGTGAGCATGCCAGCAGTGTTTTTTTTTCTTATCTTCAACCTTGTGGTCAACATCACTGCGTTTCCCTTGGTTTTGGAATTTGAATGGCCCTACAAAACTAAATGTCAGAGTAGCGTTTATTTAGATTTACTGACAGGTAAGGTTAGTAACCTGTGCAGCTGGTGGGTCCTCAGTGGGGGGCTGATTTGGATGTGTAGCAGAAACTTCCACAGCGGTGACAGGAACATACTCCATCAACTTTTCCATAGCCCGTGAAGACTGATTTAGGGCCTCTGCTGTGCTGCTCCCAGCAAACTGCATCCTCATCATGCAGTTCTCCCCCTGCAGAAGACCACATATTTGCCCAGTGTGTCTCCATCAATCAGTCATCGAAGGAAAACATCTAAGGTTTGCATAATTTATTTTCTTAACCTCTAGCTTTGCAAAAAATAAAAACAAAATATTCTAAAGTTGGTGCATACAGACAAAAAAATACATGTATAAACAACAGTAATAATAATGATCCAATTTTGATTGTCTACTGATTATTAATACTTTTTTTTGCTCACCTTCACTGTAAATCGAAACATCAGGGTATCATTTTTGTGCTGCACCTTAAGAGAATTTGAGCCCTCATTCAAAGAGATTGTACCCTGAAAAGTAAAGTAATAAAAATATATTTACAAACAGAATTAAATATATTTTTTTTTATTTGGATAGGTTATTATTTTTCAGTGAGATATTGTGGACAAATTAAAATGTTTATTTGTCTTAATGTTAGTACAAAAAGAGACAAAGAAGGATGTTTCCCAAAACTGTCTGCAGGGGTCTCTGTTTACTCAGTAACATCAAAGCTCCATAGTTGGATTTAATCATTAAACCCCTGAGTTAAAATGAAAAACATTAACTTTACAGTATGCTATTTTGAGGTAGATCCAATGAGTTTTTTCCTTTTTAATTCATTATCCTGAATTACAAAACTAGAAACTATCCAATCAGACTGTGGTGATATTTGATTACAGAAGTATTCAAATTTAACGTAAAAATTCAAATCCCCTGTTATTCTGTTTTCCAGCTAAATATCACATTTCCTTTAAGATCTTTTCAGAGCCAAAGGTTTAACTTCTCTGTATGTAATATCCCTAAGGATTAACTGCAGGAGTCTATAATAGAGCACTCTATCATCCTCAATGAATGCTCTCTGCAGCCTGACCTGAAAATATGTATGACTTGTCAACCTAGCACAGCAAGATAGCTGTGTCTCCTGCCAGAACATTATAAATCAGACTGAGTTGTACCTCAACTGTTATCTGTAGGTCAGAGGAAATGTTCTCCCCCAAGGCGAGACAAAACTCGTCCAAAAATAGTGGAGAGATTGTTTATAGAAACAAAGAATCACTCATAGCTCGGAGGGATTTTTCAATCTGGAAGACATCAAGTACAAAATCCTCCAAATATTAAAGTCGATAAAGTTACATGCATTTATGCAAAAAAATGTGCCTAGAATGATACCTTTTGTTTAAAAATGACATATTTCTCTGTACTGTTCTTGAACCCAAACAGAATATTTGGCTTTGCCCATCTGAAACAGTCAAATCCCAACAGATTTGAGCAGAAATGTCACACTCTTCAGCAGAATATTTCATAAAAAAAACTAATTAATATTTATATCCAGTGCAAGGGGACGAGAGGAGCAGAATTTGGAACTTTGCTTCCAAGCTTTACTTAAAACACGAAATCAGAGACGGGTATGTGGTTCACAGCTGGAGCCTTCAATAAATTCCCTGCAGCTTTTGTCTAATGTGATGCAAAGAGGAAATTCAATGTCTGCAGTTTTAACTGCTTTGTGCCAAAGTGTAAAAATGCATGTGATTTCTCTTTAGAGAAATTCTACACACTAAAGCATACAAAAGCATTTTAAAAAAAATATTTCATTACACCAAAGAAATCTACTTAAGATTGAAGCAATAATATCATAAATGACCCCTCACACCCCCACTATGGACTGTTCTCCTTGCCGCCCTCTCAGAAGAGACTTTGAAGCATCCGATTCGGTCCAGCAGATTCCAGAACTGTTTCTTGCCCACTGCCATTAGACTGCTGAATGTTATGTAAATGGGTTGTTTTATTGTATTTTATTATATTTATTAATAAAAAACAAACAAACAAATAAAAAAAAAAACCCTGAAATGTTAGAACTGTAAATATAGAGTCATATGTTTATATTACTGTTTTGATGTATTTTTTACTGTTTTCAAGGCTGCACTAAAAAGAAATGCAACTGTCTTTTTGTTTACATTTGTGTACACAAAATGACAAAATAAATCTGTCTAAGTCTAAAGTCTAAGTCTAGTCAGAGAAATTAGCAGAGTTAGATCGATGGCTATTTCTGATGTGAGCTTTAATGCAATAAATTAAATTACTTAATCTTTTCTTAAAGTTCAAGAGGCTATTTTAAAGAATCATAATTTAAAACACAAGCTAACCATAATTAAAAAGACAATTAAGCACTAAGGGCCGGATCTATCAAAGGTTTGTGTGTATAAAAACGTGAGCTATTTCACTGCGCACACTAAAAAATGTACAAACTGATCTATCAACAGCGTTCTAAAAGGATTTGGTCTTTAAAACGTGCTAAATAGCGCCTCTTATCTATCCATTTAGTACTTTTTCTGCAATGAATATGCAATATGGGGCGTTTACACGCAAAAGTGCGTCTTGTGGGAGGAGAACATGTAAATATATTAATTTAGCACTCGCAAAGTGATTTATCAAACCTGAAAGCAATTTTGCTAACGGTATCTGACTCTATATTTAACACGTTTCAAAAGAAGGTGCAAATGGTCTGTATGCGTAATTGCGCACACATGGCAGCGGTTATTGTCGCAAGAAGGGGACATCGAAATGAAGCAAGGAGACGCAGAGAACGCATTTTTTCACTCCGTGTGAATATTTTTGGAATGAACGAGGAAACGATCATCAAAACATATCGTTTATCCAGCAATGCCATTTTGGAACTGTTGGGGGAACTCCGAATGGATTTGTAGCCAGCCACAAGGAGGACCCACGCAATACCAGATATCACAAAACTCCTTGCAACATTGCACTTTTTTGCATCTGGGATCTCCCAATCTCGTTTTTCAGAAGTGCTGTCCGACGTTCTAAATGCCATGTCGCCCCGACGCCCTACCGGAGAACCCCGACCTCTGCGCCTGTGGAGCAACATGCCAATGCTGCGGGGATGCGTACGCGCAGTCATCTCATCCACAGTCACTTCTTGTGAGCATTTGGTATGTGCATTTTTCTACAGGCCAACACAAAACACCTGTTTTTGTTTTGTTTTGTTTTTTACTGCAGTGAAGTAGAAATTCAGCCACATACCACCTTAGGGAATAAAGGTTGCCAAAGTTTTATATATATATATAATTATTTTATTTTTTTGGAGGGGGTGGGGGTGTCACTGTAAGATTTAAATTTCTTAATGCACTAGTTTGTACAAACTACAAACTACTTTGCCGCAAACCACAAAACGTGCAAAACCATAATTTAAACAGGGCGTCTCCAACAGTTTTGCACCTGCCACCAGTTACGCAATCGCTCTTGTTAAATAACACGCAAACCATGGTCCAGCCCCTCGCGCAAAATTCCAGTTTGCGAGCGCATATTACTGCACGCAAAATTAGATCTTGATAAATCCGGCCCTAAATCTTAGAAAGAGGAAGTTTTTTTTTCAGCTTTGGTAGCAGTCGCAATACACTGTTTTGATGCACTGCCTAGAAGGCCATTGAGTTTCCAAGTACTATGAGTTTAGATACTTTGGCGATGATGTCTTTGGTCAGAATGATGCACTCTGATTGGCCTTAATGCAGCCACCTTATAGAGATTTTATAAAACAATTAAAGGCACACTATGCAACATTTTTCAGTTAATTAATGTGTTCCATAACGTTTTGGATGATTAAATGAGTCATTTCAGGTTGAACAAAGGTATTCTCGGCCGCCCTGGTGGTCTGTGGGGGAAATACTGCACTTGCAATTGCAGGAGCACCGACCCGCACCCACAGGCTCAGAAGTCTCGTGAGAGTCAGTCTTGCTTTACGGCCGAGAACTGCTACACCCCCCAGTTAAAAGCATTCTCGTTGCTAGCACAGTGGCGATCCTTGTGCAGTTATGCTACGTTCACGCAGCAAAAGCAGCAAAATCGTGTCTCCCCCACATACCAGCGGTGCGCCGACAGAAGGAACCCCTTCATCAGCAGCCGCTGGCCAGGTCACGTCCTCGCGGTTCACCGCGGCAGCTGGTAGGTGTTTTTCATCTAAATAATCTAAACTGCATATTCTGCCGGCAGATTTCTGCATTTTAAGTTAATTTAGGCGTCAATAAACTGTTTAAGAGGAGAGATCATAGCCTCTGATCATCAGCGCTGTGTCTCTCTCCCTGCTTCAGCTGCTCAGACGCGCTGGGCCTGCTGCTCCTTTGCTGCGCCTTGACGCGCGTCAACCATTGACTTTGCATGTAAACTCGCTGCTTCTGTCGCGCCAGCTGCGGTGTGAACGCAGCATTAGTCATTCGTTGCGTTCGCCTGTCTGCTAAGCTCAAAACAACCGCGCCTGGCTTGACGGAGAAACCAGGAGACCAGCTGTGCATATTTACGACAGTGCACTTTTACTTTCGCCCTCTGGGGGGAGTCTCGCTGGAAAATCAACACCGGTTGCATAGTGTACCTTTAAAGTTCAAGGAGAGCTGTTCTGAACAACTTTCCTGAGCTTTCAATGGGAGAGGATTGAAAGAAGATGAGTGCAAACAATGTGGATTAATTCTTGTATTCATATTACCGCTGCATGTTTTCTTCACATTTTGAACTGGGACTGTTAGTGATTACAACTTTACTTACCAAGGTCTCTTGCCCTCGCAGCACCAGCAGATGACCAGATTCAAACATGGTCATGATAATTGGAGGTCCACTGGGTTCTTGCTCAAAAACCTGCACAAGAAAAAAACAACAGGTAAATAAATTATAAATTTTTAAATTGCCTGCCCCTTCTTTATCTCTACAAGTGGCCAGAGTTGCTCTTCTCTGTATTTTCTGCTTTTCTCAGACTGCGAAACTGGATCTTCATTTCTGCAGATTTTTCTAGCATTACAATGCTTCAGATATCCTGGATATCAGAAAGTACTTCAACCATATTTGGGTATAAATATGAACAAAAAATGTATCTACATTTTTGTCAGTAAACAGAAGCAAAATACTTTCTTTTTTCTCCATATGTAGTTTTACGGATAAAAACCAGCTCTTATATCATCAAAGATGATCATCATAAAACAGCTTATACATGCTTTTATATAGGTATTTTTGTGAAGTATTTGATACATTTTGTATGAGTTGAAATTAATTAGACCACATGTGAATTGATCCAGGTCCGGGCTAAATGACTAGACTGTATCTGCTTAAGCCAAAGTTGATTCTACTTCTATCATCAATACATATAAATTAATCAGAATAACACAGAAAAAAGGAATTTTATTACTTGTATAATGTTATATTTTATACAGAACCTTATATATTGTATGGATTCAATAGGGCTTTTGATACATTGTTTGTTACTTCTGTTTTATTTATTATCATTATGACGTACAGCTAATGAAAACTACTCTAATGGAATTCATTTCGCAATGTTTCTTTTCCTCAATACGCACCAGAATTTAAATTGTGTGTATAAACCTTCATGTGGATGTAGCGTTAGCAACATTAGCAGTTTGTCTGAATTTGTTTAAGGTCGGTTTCCTGATCTTTCACACAATATGTAAAAATGCCCACAGGAAGCAACATTTCAGGTATGCAGGTGAGTCCCTGACTGATGCAGTCACTCACTCTTGGTGGAATAAAAACAGGAGTGGTGATACTAATGCAGACTAATGTTAGCATCCTTCCATGATGACGTAAATATTTAAACCTAGACATAGACAAACTTTATTGTCCTTTTGTATGCACAGACTGCATAAAGAAGGAAATTCCGTTGCATACAGCTTACATGAATGAGACTGTAGCTGAAATAAATAATATTACAATATGAAGTGCAGTGGTGTTATGATGTTTCATCGCAAGGAGAAAAAAAATTGTGCTCTCTTCATCATAAGAAAAAGGTAACAGATTTTTAATTTTTTCAGTATAATATGGGAAAAAATATATTGAAATAAAATTAAAAAATCAGTTAACTTTTTTTTTTTTCCAGTGGTCCTAATCCTCTTCCATATGATCCTTACTACACTAACAAGAAAAAAGTCTGATTTCCAGGTGATACTTTATTTAAGTCACTATTTATTTCCTTATGATCTTTCCTTATGAAATTTCATTCTAATCTAATCAGTTTTTCCAGTCATGTTTCATGTATTTTTGTTCATGAGCCCCCTATTTTCTTGCAGGATTTGTATCTTCACATATATAACAACTAATGATTTTTTTGCAAATTGATTAATTTGTCGATTCTTTTTTTCTTTTAATGGATTTATCATTGGATAGCCAAAGGTTCCTTAAAGATTTTCATGGAAATAAACCAGGTGAAACTAAAGCTTTTCCACTAGAGAAGTTCTGGATAGAGCATATTGACAGACAGAAAGGTTTTTAGTTTTTTTATCATAAATGTGAAATTTTATGTTTTTTTTTTAACTCCAGTTAACGATTGATAACTAAATTAGGTTACAATTATTTCAATAATTGATTCAACACAATTAATCCAATTAATTATTACAACCCTAAAGTTTATTATCATGTATATACTGTAGAGGGAAAAAAGGTGTATGGGGGATCAGTTGGACTGATGCAAAAAAAAAAATTATAATCTGTTTGGGTATCGGACTAGAAAAACAAAATAAAAAACAAAAAAAGAATCAGTCCATCTTTAAAGTGTCAAAAATTTGCTAGACTGATTTTGTAGAAAAAGTAAAATATGAATATATAGAAAAGATACAAAAAATGAATATTTTACAGTCAAAGTTTTAAACTATGACCAAAAAATATTCATATATTTCTTTAAATAATTACATCCGCAGTTATTTTATCAGCTCTTCATAAAAATCCAAATTAAACATATAATATGAAAAACTTCCACATTTCTTAAGATTTGCTTTAACATTTAAGTAAGCTTTATCTTGACCAAAAATATACTTCTCTAAAGTCTAAAATGTTGAGTGGTCCTATCAATAGATTATTATTCTAGGTTAACCTACAGTACACCAAGAATAATAAATTAAAGATATTAAATGTTAGCATCTGCAGCTGTTAGCATAGTAAGCATATAATGCTAACTCAACTTTAGCTAGCTTGAAACTAAAGTTTTTTCCTTTTAGCCAGCATACTGCTAAGTTTAAATTAAACAGAATTTGGTTACCTTCCATGATTTTGGTCCTTTATTAGGTACAAAGCACCCAAAGCGTCTTAAAGTCGAGGTTAGACTAGGTGCCATTCTTCAGAAGAGAGTACTTTGGGGGGCGTGTCTTCTCCCACACTTTTTGGCGCTTAAATGACATAAAATTCAAAGGACCAATATAAAATAAAAGATACATTGACAAATATTATTAAAAGAATGTTGAAAATAGTTTATATATATTCATTTTTATATATGTATTTATATATTATTATATATCTTCATTACAGACATATTTTTTTCATTTTAACTGCATTTTTCCTGTTTTTATCCGTTGACATTTGTCATGTTCCTTGACTTTAATTCAGCATTACGTCTTATGTTTTTTCCTTCACATATATAGAACTTTATCTCTTAATTTAACATTTTGCTCATTACAAACCTTGTAGGTATATTTTTGTGTTAATTTAGCAAAATATACAATATATATTCATGGCTATAATTCTTTTTTTTTAGTCATTCATTTGTGCACTCAGTTAAACTAAAATGACTTAAAAAAAAATCTGGGGATAAAGTATTATATATAATCAAAATCACAAACAGCACATTTTTGGGGGAAGTTTTATGTGCTGTATAAAATCAACACAGAGAGGAACTCATAGGCAAGGGGAAAACCGTGGGTAAAATATGTTCAATCTGAAAAACTCACACGGAGAGAAAAGACAAATAGAAGAAATTTATTGATGCAATTACTTTAGACTTTGGCGCTCAGACCTCGGCAGGAAAACATAGCGCTGAATTTTGATTTATTTGCATGAACAGGAGGAAAGAATAGGGCTGTTTCCCCCCCAGGCCTGAAACTGGTGGTAGATAGATAGATGAAGTTGGTCAGTCTGTAGACTGCTGGTTAGCGAGACGGTATGCTGAGCTTTATGGGGAGATCCAGTGGACTGTATCAGCTGATGCTAGAGCTTCACTCAGGGACCTCGAAGATGGAAGTCCAGCTTGGATAACACAGGTTGAGAGAACCTGTCAATGATGACCAAGCATGAAGCGACAGTGGAGAGGAAAAACTCCCCGCTGGGAAGGAACCTCTGGAAGAACCAGGCTCAACATGGCAGTCTTCTGCCAGACCGGCTGAAATGAGATGCGGAATGCAGTAAGAGTCTGTGAGGAATGAAACTCTGAAGAAGTTTTAGCTACGATGGTGGACGAGGGGCTGGAGGTGGATTGAAATGGGGTCTTCTGAATAAAGTCAGACACAGCGCAACCACCTCCTGCCCACTAGGTAGCAGAAAAGTTACGGATCGGAGGCCTTTTAAGATGAACTTTGGATGACGATTGGCTGTGCCGTAGGCGGATGAAGGCGAGTAATCAGTTTATTCAGTTGAACTTCTCACAAGGCTCCATTTCTCCACCATGAAACATAGTGGTGGCGGCATCATTCTTAGGTTATCATTTAGGGTTAAGGGTCTTGCTCAGGGACCCAGAGTGCAGGCTGTGGAAGTGGGGCTCAGGACGTCTGGATTCCAAGCGCAATGCCCTAACCACTATGCCGCCGCTCCTCCTAATGAGAATACATTTAAATAATTCTAAAAAAAAAAGTGCATATATATATATATATATATATATATATATATATATATATATATATATATATATATGTATTTATGTATATATATATATATATATATATATATGTATTTATGTATATATATATATAGAGAGAAAGAGAGATAGTGGGATATTAGGGCTGAAACAAAGATCAGGTCAACTAATTTAATAATCGATTAATCGTTAACTGGAGTAGAGAGAGAGAGAGAGAGAAAGAGAGAGAGAGAGAGAGAGAGAGAGAGGAGAGGCTAAAAACCTAAAAATTGTCCTACAATCAGTATATTTTGGACATTTTTTGATATTTAAATATAATCAGCCACCAATTCAAAGAGTCTTAATCATTACCTTGTATTTTGTCCTACTGAAGCTCCTTGATATATTGCAATGGGTTGTTGTTCTATCTAAAGATGTATTTCGGGGCAGTTGTTGCCATTCAACCCTTTATGCAGAGTATAGCTGTCAGGTTCCAAAACATCTTTTCCACAGCATCACCGATCTTGACAGCAGTAATTGTGTGTTGCAGATAGTAAACGGTGTGTTCCTCCAAAGGACTGTCAAAATGTTGCATTCTGGTTTAATTAAAACAAATACTTTGGGTTGGACAGTATTTAAAAAGCATTTTTTGTGAAATTGAATTGACTAACCCTAACCCTGATAGGTGACTTCTGTCTGCATGGCCACTCAACCTAAAGGGCTTATATACACTTTTGATGATTTTCGTGGGGGGTGTGTATCATATAATGTAGATCTAGTTGGGCACCCATATTGATGTTAATTTGATTTTCCCACTTCATAATAACAAAGCCACAACAAATTTCAGAATATTCAAAGCTCTTAATGTTTGTCAGGCACTCTTCTCCAAATTTGTCTTTAATAATAAGAAGAAGGAGAAATAATTAAAATGTATTAAGCCTATTCACAAAAAAAAACTTTTAGAAATGATTTGGCTTTTAACTTAGGAGTAAAGCAGTTTTAAAAAAAGACTAATCAAGTGGGAATGCTTATGCATTCCCACTTATTGTTTTTCTGTTTCTCTTTATTATTATCAAACGGGAATGCTTATGCATTCCCACTTATTGTTTTTCTGTTTCTCTTTATTATTATTATCAAGTGGGAATGCTTATGCATTCCCACTTATTGTTTTTCACTTTTAATTTTTCTGACTCTAACTAGTCCCGCAGTTTTCAACTGATTTCAACAATTTTGGTATCAAAACGTTCAACTTGTTCAGGAGAATTCGGCTATGTCTTTTGGTAAAGATATTTTTTGTAGTTTTCGCGATATTCAGCTTTTTCTGCGTTTTTTTTGTCCCATTGAAATGCATGTAGAATTCTTAGATTTCAGCAAAATTCAGCTAAACCTTCAGCATCTTTGACCTTTAACTACTTCAGCATACTTTCAGCTAGAAACACCATTCAACTTTTAAAATGTTTCCGTATCTTTCTGCTATTACTGTTTAACTCGGCTTTCTGCTAACTTTTACAGTTTTGCTTCAGTGAAGCTTCAAACTTTAAAAGAAAATTTAAAGATTTTCAAATTTATAATGGAAGTCTATGGACGGAATGTTCAGCTGCTAGAGTGTGCCACTCTAGCGTTTTCAAACATTTCACTCATGCCGAACAGCTTCAACTCACTCGCTCATTTTTTACCCTATCTGGATAAATTTTACATCAAAACGTAGGGATTTTTGTCAGGATTCAGGAAATGTAACCCTCATCTGTGTGGCATTTACGGTTTTCCGACAGTTTGGCCCAGAGCACGAAGAAGTCCACACTTCTCCAATAGAAATCCAATGAGAGCTCTCTGAAAATCCGAACTGAAAATAAAAAAAAACAGACTTTTTCGTATCGCTCCCATTTGGGAACCGTTTGACATAGCAACACGAGCCTTGTGGAAGTTGTTCCTCAGACCTTCCTAGCACTCACATTGAAGGAAGTGTGTCGATATCTTTTATCGTTTAGCTAGGAAAAAGGTTTGTTTGGGGGTAACAAATCTGTCCAAACCCCAAAATCAAGATTTTGACAATTATACACTTTTTTACATCGTCACCACGCCTAGACGAAATATTGTAGAAATATGAAAGTTGCACCAGTTGTAGTCCAAAGATGGCTGACGCTCACGGTGAAAGAATTTTTTGAATACCTAATACGGTTTTGGCTCACCGCTCGTTTGTTCGGAGGGAAAGTTTTGCTTTTGAGAGTTCTGCTCTACCATTGTGCTGCATGTTATTTAATGAGACCAGCAAGATTTCTCAAACCTTTTTATTCCTCCTTCCCATTAAGGTTGTGAATGAGCTACATCCATGACAGTTACCACAATTGGAGACAAAGGATAGCTCTCGCTTAGACTGAAAGAATTTTTTAGATACCATTTACGGTTTGTCTTCAGCACTCGTTTGTTCGGAGCTGCTATTCCCATTCAAAAAAGCCTGAGAGGAAAGGAACAAAAGTGAAGCGCATGTCTCTCTGTCACTGACAGGCTCGTTAAGCGTTGTCAAGGTAACCGTGCTTCAAAGAGATTTTACCTCCACCACTTTAAACAGCACATTTTAATCTAATGCAGGGAGACAACACTGATTTAACATTAGGAAGTGGATACAATATGACTACTGGCAATGACCCTTCCCTTCAGACGCAACCCTGATAGACTTTCAAAATAAGACTCCGAGGACCCTTCAAAATAAAAGCCCCTAAATTAAACTCATTTTTTTTTTCCCAGCATATGGCTCAACATTATGACCCAAACTCAACCACTTTTTTAAAAATGAGACTCTAGGGGGTTTTCAAAACACAACCCATGGAAAATTTCAAAATAAAAGCCTCCCATTGCCACTTTATCTACTGCCCTAATAACAAGGGAAAAGAGTAATTTAACGATTGGAAAGTCATCAAGTATCACTGCTGGGTCTGACCCTTTTCTCAACACACAACCCTGCTAGACTTTCAAAATAAGACTCCAGTGACCCTACAAAATAAAAGCCTCTGTATTATACTCGCCTATTAATTGATGCAAATGGCTCAGCATTATGACCCAAACTCTACCAACTTGTTTCTATTAGACTCTAGGGACCTTTTCAAAACATACCCCAGAGCAAATTTCACAATAAAAGTCTCCCATTTACGCTCTAATACAGCATCTATTCACCCAATAACATGGAAAACCAGTGATTTCATATTTGGAAATGGATTCTATATCACTGCTGGGCATGACCCTTCCCTTGACACACATCCATGATAGACTTTCAAAATAAGACTAAAGGGAACCTACAAAATAAAAGCCTCTTCCTTACGCACACTCATTCATTGTGCCGTATGGCTTGTAGCTATGACCCAAAGTCAACCAATTTCTTAATATTACACTACCAAGGCCTGTGGACCACACACCTCAGTGCATATTTCTTAATCAGGTTCTAAGATTTATACTGTAATAAGGCATCTGCTAACCTTGTAATATGCAGCCTACGCCTGCCAATGGTGCTTTCATTACCACAGCGGCTCGTAACATGCAGGTTCAATTTTTTTTATAAATTCAGCTCCTTAAGTGGTATTAGCTCTCTTTCTATAAGCTTCTCTCTCTGTCCTTCCTCTG